AAAGTTTCTGAATCTTAACAAAACAAAATTACAGGTGTGTAAAAAGAAAAGATACTTCAAAAACTTGCTTGGAAACATCTTAACAGCATATAAATGTTGCAATAATAATATATTAATAGCAGACCATTCTGTCATGCCCCTCATATTGAAGTACATTCCTTATTTCATAGTCTTGCTTTTCCCTTAGCAACATGCCTTTCTGCAACCTGATAAGAAAAGCAATTCAAAGAGTGATTATAAAAAGCATGTTATTTAACTCATTCAGGCCAACAGTGAAATATCAACTAAAATTGTCTTTACTATGTGTAAATTAGGGTTTGCATTTTAAATGAAAAGCCCCCAACTGTAAAATATTTAAAATAAGCATATTTCAGTTGCAGATAGTCTTATAAATTAAACAGTTTCAGTAAGGAATTCATTTGAAATTGACATGCTTATTTTTAGAAAAGCTAACATGTAAAGAGATTGTTTTATTTTACTGATAAATATAGTCTTTACAGAATTATTCTTCACTGACATTTCCTTCATTGAGTATGATAACAAAGCATAAATCAGGGTCACAAATTCATTCCTACCCCGTGGGAGGGAGGGATTATATGTAAATAATCCTGTTAATAGTAAGCATGGCCTCTAAGCATTTCACACTGCAGTGATTTGGTAAACTGAATTTGAGCAATTAAGATATCAAATGAAACTAATAAAATGATTATTTTAATATTTCTTAATAATTATCATTTGTTTGAAATTAGTGAATATTAAAAAGGCACACTTACTTTGCACAGAAATGCATTGGAGCAGTTCAGTAAATTATTTGATAGTTTCTTGCCATGGCATTTCACTCAAAATTCCTTCCTTAAAATATTGCAACGGTCAATTGGGTGCATGCTAGCTCTGGATTATTAACTTTTGTCAACTGGAAAGCCTACTTGCCAGATTGGCTGCAGTGCAAAGTTTTATTTATATGTCATTTGCATATGGATTGGCAACAGATCAAAACAATATTCCCTCTCCCCTTTGGTCTTCAAAGTACTGTGGCCATAAATGGCTTATAAATTGCCTATCCTGGAAACTATCACTGTACTTATGTATTTACCTAGTGATTTTGAACATTTTTTATCGCATACTTCTATTCAGATTTCCATGCTGGCTTATAATACAAAATCTTAAAACAATGTAATATTAAAAAGTATAAATCACATCAAGCAAAAATTTAAAACACAATGAAGAGAAATGTATAAGAACTATAAATAATGTTCACATTACAAAAAAACACGCATTGGGCCATTGGGACAGCATGTTATGGGCATTCCTATGAAATGCTGGCCATGTTGGTTGGATCTAATAATAAAACCCATACACCAGAAGGCAAGCAACGTGCTAAGCTGCAGACACTACCACTGCATTTCATTTTTAGAAAATGCCTGAGGGACTCTGTGGAGTCAAGAGGAATTGTTGGAGATATACTTTATGCTTGAAGCTTTTGCTTTGCTGAATATTAACTTCCAGTTCTTTTTGGCTGGTGATGGCCTTTTCCTCTGGATGAAGCTCCTTATTAAGAAAATGCCACATTCTTATTGTCAGTTTCTTCACTTTATAATACCTGGTGACTTTGGTCAGCTGACCCTCAGATTTAGCCAGTCCTGCTGCACTTGGAAACCTTCACTCCCATGTTAATGGATGGAAGCCTAAAAATCTGCTTCAAAAAGTTGCCCTACATGTAATTGGTAGACTCGAGTGGATTACTATAAAAAAAGTAGACCGATTTGTGGAGAATCACTTTATCAGTATATGTCAATAACAGTATATTTCCACTAAAGGTAAGACACAGTGGTGTGCTGGAGGCAGCTCGCAAGAACTGATCGTTAAATTTTCTGGAATTTTGTAAGCTGGTTCAGAGCAGAATTGAGGTGCAACACATAGTGTGCCAATCAGCTGTTTGGTGGCTTGGTGCACGGCGCCGGGAAGCAATGGAGACAGCAGAGCCAGTTGTTGTACATTTACCAGCACACTCCTAACAATACATATCCCTCATTGTCTGTTGCAGAGCAAGATTGAGGAGAAAGCAGCTGTCTGTGCTCTGGTAACTTTATAGATACAATACAGGACATGTGCACCACATGTTTCTGAAATTTTATTCTGAATCTTCAGTTAGGGCAGAATACACAAGCCAGAATTGTTTTGATTGGCATTTGATTGGTTGCTATCTGATATGGTCTACTTATTCACCTTTAAAAACTTTACACTTTCTAATTGTACTTTTATGAGCTACATATATTTATGGAACTTTGGTATCCTTAAATGATTATTATTTTAATTGCTTGTAACAATTTTCATACACTACCTTGAATTGGATGGGTGGTTGGATTCAGTATCAATTAAATGAATTACCCTGTGGGTTTTCCAAACCAAGTCTGATTGGTTGCCAGATTAGATGCACACTTGCTTTGATTCAGCATAGGGAGAATTTTAGAACAAAAAGACCACAAGACCCCTAGATCAGGGTTCCTCAACTTCAGCAACTTTAAGATGGGTGGACTTCAACTCCCAGAATTTCCCAGCCAGCAATTCTGGGAGTTGAAGTCCACCCATCTGAAAGTTGCTGAGGTTGAGGAACCCTGCCCTAGATAACCACAGACAGTTTAGGTAATAATTCTTTGCTGTTGAATAACCAAGCTTAGGTTTTTAGTAGCTACTACATCGTTATTGATTTAATTTTATTTGAAATAGGATTGTGGGTGAAAAATAATGTCAGTGGTTATAGAAGCCTACATCCAGCAATCCAAGATGGTAGAGCCAGACCCAATCGTTTCTCTGTTGTGATTGTTCATACTTAGAAATAGTGTTTTTACTTAAGGAGTATTCTGAAAAGATGATTCCTGCTAAACTGGTGCTATCCCTTTTACCTTCTGAGGATTTTATCACCTCATTGCCCCTTGAGATGATATGTCAGCCTCAATTTCCCTTTATTATTGGGCTTCATGCACACAAATACATACATGCTAGATGGAGTGTGCTACTTGCCTCTGCAAGGAGGCTACCAACACAAATTTAAAGTCAAATGATGCCTAATAGCAGCACTGTTCTCCTCCTGGGACTATAGGACTGTACGTGCTTTGCATGTACAAACTCAAAGAGTAGATCTCTGACCCCTAAGTTAAAAAAAAACAAAAACCGGGGGATGAGAAAGACTTTTGTCTGAGAGCCACTGCTAGTCAGAAAAAAAAATAGAGCTCAGTGAAAAACAGACTGACCTAGTAGAAAGCAAGGTCCTATTATTGGGAAAGATTATGCTGGCATAGACAAGGCATGTGTATTTATTATGGACTCCCCAATATCATTGAGAGACTAGATTCAGAACTCCAGAAAAGGCCTCATCTGGTCCAGCTCATTCCAAAAGATACTGCAGTCCTACTCAATGTCTAGATCCAAGAGAGATTCAGAAAATTTAAGGCTTGTTCTAGCATAGTCTGCAACCAAAACAGCTGTAATAAGTTTGGTTTGTGTGTTTATTATCACAGTAGAATGAAATTTCAGTATAAGCTACATCTTTATGAGGTGTCAAATTTCATAAAAATCAGGTAAGCAGTGGAATAAGGGGGTTCTCCCTCAAACCCTTTCTTCAACCTTGAGACAGTATAACTGAGTAACTAATCTGTCTGTCACAAACCTTCGAATTCCTCTTAATGAATAATGAAAGAGAGAATATAAAAGTGGAAAAGTCATGATTTGTAAGTCAGGTTGCAATCCAAATATCCACATTTACCTTGAAATTAGCCTTATGATATACAGCAGGACTTCTAAGTTAAGATGATAGCATTTAAGTTTTACTCAGGTTCCCATTTTCTTCCTTCCTTCCTTCCTTCCTTCCTTCCTTCCTTCCTTCCTTCCTTCCTTCCATCCATCCATCCATCCATCCATATTTTATTTTGGTAGGGGATAATTTTCTCTGAGTATTAATGCATTTAAGTGTTTTTCTCCTAATATTTATATTTTAATATACTTTTTTATCTAATATGTTTTTGTAGCTATTTCCTGTAACCTAACAGCTTTTCAACTTTGTGTTTACAAAGTCTACAAATGTAACTTGTTACCCATTTCCACATGTGAGTGAAGATGCCTGCCACCTTTCAGTAGTGCCAGTATACACTGCAATTATTTTATGATTTATGAGAATATTGATAGGATAATTTAATAGCACAGAACTTCGTAAGTACATGTTTATTTTTAAAGCAACAATTAAATAGGTCCAGTCCTGTCTAGAGCAATATAGTTTTGAAAAAACAAAGTGTGCTGCATTCACAGATATAATCAACTGATTGGTGTAATGGGAGTTTCTCTCTATATATATACTTTGTTGTATCTTTCATTCATCATTGTTTTACTTTTTATGTATCTGTGGTTTGTTTTTACTATGTTGTACTTCACCCAGAGTCATAAGTTTGGAGCAATTTACAAATATAGTAAATAAATAATCAGTGAAAAGCAAAGTTCTTACTTAATTTTAGGTAGGGATCTTCCAATAGCATGCAGCCTGGCAACATGCCATTGCATGCATATTTCATGTAGGATTGCATTCAGAATGTTGTATTTTAAAAAAAAAAAATTAACTTCCTTTTGTAGGCTTGAACTGTGAGCTTGTGTTCCAGCCAACTTTTCTTAACGCAGATCATCAACTTTTTGGGTCAATTAATGGTATGGGTTTGAAAAGCTAGTTACAGCTACACTACATATTCTAATCAAATGAATTTTGCTTCAGTGTCTGCGTGATCTAATAAAAATGCAATTTTTATTTGTCAATTGATATATGTGTTGCATGAAAGAATACATACAATCTTCAGTATCAGGGATAAACAGATGCTTTAGTATTCATAAAATAAGTCTCAAGTTTTCAACTTTTTAGGACTGATTGATGTACTGCATTTATAATAGATTCTAGATAGAAGAAGAAATGCTTACATTAATGTCTCTTCTTCCACTATCCCTCTGCTTTTGCCCCATAGGTGGAACTGACAGGCAGCAGTGTGTTTGACTATGTCCATCCTGGAGACCACGTGGAGATGGCTGAACAGCTGGGCATGAAACTTCCCCCAGGGCGAGGCCTACTCTCGCAGGGCACAGCAGAGGATGGAGCCAGTTCAGCATCTTCATCTTCTCAGTCTGAGACCCCTGAGCCAGGTGGGAATTACAATCACAATGAGTAGGTTGGTGGGCAGGACCTTTACCAAATAATTGAGCTCAAGTTGCTGGTGTAAAAAGACTATGAATAGGTTTAATTGTATTTAACCATTCAGGGCAGCTTTCAGTTCTAAGCAGTAATTAAATAAGGAAGAGGTTTGAAAATAAAGAGACATTTTAATAAGTATAATAGCAAAGCTCTAATTTTAGTTGAACAATGCATACAGAAAGTACCAGTTGATGTAGTTTCTCTTTCAAATTATTGAAAAGGTTCAGGTTTCGTATCTCATTTCTTTTATTGTTGCAAGAATTAAAAGTAATGTATTTATTTATTATTCAGAAAAATCTCTGAATAAGCTTTATGAATATGAGCTTGTGAAGAATGAAAAGTCTTGGGGACTTGTAGAGTTCTTAGTTCTTATTTTTTAACATCAGAAGGTACTTGAAAGATGTGAACAGATAAATTAAGGCTAAAAAGAAAACAGTAATGGCTACATTTTAAACTGCCTTTCCACCCTCAGTATTTAATTAGATCAATTGTATAGAGGAATGAACAGAGGTGACATTCCTCATTGGAATTCCTCCCAGGCCTCTTATAGACTTTGCATTCTGAATGTTCCCATTTTCATTGTGTTGTACTGATGATAATTTAAGTATTAGGGGAAAATCCATTTATAAATTAAACAAAATGACTTGATATCCATCAGTCCCCTAGTTCATCAAGCTGTTCAAACACGAGGAAGATTGGCTGGTCGGCCTGGGTCTTCCGAGAGCTCTGGTAATTAGATCTGCGAAGGATTTATTCTTTGCTGATTGGGGCTTTAAATTAATTGAAGTTCCACATTTGTGGTTTTGTCCTTTTTGTACTTTTTTAGAGGAGATATTTCATATTCTTGTGTGGCGGAGTGCTTGGCCAAGCAGCAGTAGTTTAAATGTTAATTTTTCTCATGAGAAGTTTAAGATTTTTAATGAAGTACAAAGGCTGATTTGAAGCCTTTTATTTGCTTACTTGGGAAATTATTTTTCTACTATTTAAAGATGTTTGTACTGTACTTGATCTGTTGTTTTGAAGCAAGCTCATAAGACAAAAGTATTTTATTAGTGATCATTTATAAAGAACAGTAAACTAACGTTTCTGTGTTGAGTATCAGAACAACCAGAAAAATAATAGTGTATTTTTAAATAGAAGCCTTTCCAGATAGAAAACTGGATTTTTTCGGGGTGGGGGGGTGGTTATACAAACAATAAATATGAAGATATAAGAACAGATAAAATTAAATTTGTATTTCAGTCATATGCATGTGTCCTCAAAAGTCTACTGAATTCAATGCTGCTTACTTTCAAGTAAAGTGATATAAGATGTTAACCACAGACAATATTTAAGAGGGCTAAACATTTAATTTGCCAAGCCATCTGGAAGAAAATGCAATAGGTATAATCAAATTATGCCTGGCTATTGTGATTTTTTTTTTTTAACATTCTTTTTTCACTGTGATTTCCTTTGGAGAACAAGAAAAATTAGTTATAAACATTGGTTTCACTCTTCTGACTATGTTGGTTCAGTAATCTATGTGCAGATTTTTCAGGGTTTTGTAATTTTAGCAGAGAACTAAAATTGTATTATCTATAAGTGTAGCATCTTCCTGCAATATAAATTCAGGCTGATCTTCCTCTATGCTAGGATCTCAGTTCAAGATATATTTCCTCCAATCCCCAGAATTTACATGGGTCCCAGAAATTCCTTATGAGCAAGTGGGATTTTAATCTTACATGGCCTTTTAGTGTCCCCCCCCCCCCCC